CTGTTTCGCCGCAGTTCCTGTAAGTATTCTTAACCACGTTTATTTTGGTTGTTTAAATTATTGTTGAACATAACAAGCTGTCACATCTATAAGAAATCACTTTATCCACCATCCCTTTATTTGTACAGCGTTGTGTGCGCCTGCGTACAAGGTTGTCTGTTATAGACAGCCTTCCCGGCGTCATAAATCTTTCGATAGACGAGACAAGCTAAGCCATTCAAAACGACACTATGCATATGCACGGCCGCGACAAGTAGCACTGCGCTTCATTTCTGCGACGAAGGGTGTGTAGCGAAACTATGTCACGCAAAAATATTAGGGAACTGGAAACTACCTGCTTGGTTATGAGAACACTGATTTTGCTCAACACAGGTTGGTAGGCAGAGCACTGTTAAGCAAGCCTATATGTACAATTTTATGTAGTATTATTGTAATTATAAAGAGGCAATGTATTGCAATGCTAACAAAAAAAAGATCGTCGTCTGCATGCAGAGATCAGAGGTAACGTGACCAGATTCAAAGGCCTCTTCCTGTTTTTGCTTGAAAAGACAACAGAGGTCAATTTCCGCGACTCCCGGTAAAGAAATAAAAATTTAAAACCACCCCTCACAAAGAAGAAAAACAGGTATGGCTTGAGTCTATGAAACGATCCATCTTTTATTCAGTGGAATCATCTCATTTGATGTTCTGAGTGGTTGTCAGTTCCTATAATGTCAACCCAGCTCACTCAATCCACGCTAGCTGTCCGAATTACATTCTGGCCAGAAAACCTATGAATCTTGTTTTGTCGGTATACCTTTTGTGTATTCTTTCTCCTTATTTTCTCTACCTGTCTCTCTGTGTACAGAGGTGTACATTTCTACATTTAGAATGCAGTGTGAAATTTTCTTCAACTCAAGTATAATTAGACGACGCTAGCTTTCGCGAATAACTTGTAAAATATATCATGCTTCCCTACCGAAACTGCGTAGACTCTAGTGAATAACTTTAGGACGTGGTGGTGGTTTCCCGTAAGGTACACCATCCAGCCCAGTGAGTTATGACAATTACTTAGGATATGATCGTGAGAGCGATGGTTATGGGTATATTGAAGATGCATTAGATGTAAACATTTTTGAACCTCGCGTAATTCTGGCAGTCATCAGTGAATCATCACTACAGAAAACTACAGCTTGTAGTTGAGGAGTGCCGTGCGACGCCAGTCAACTATAACAAAACTGCTTCTCTTATAATCAGAGCTATAGCAGACAACAAAACAACAATCCCCCTATTTCGTTACTGAAGCGCCGTTCACAGTCCCACCAACGAGGGTACATCACGCAAAAGACTGCACAAACGTCCCTTTCACTCGCTGCAGCGGTCGCGTCAGTAACCAGGGTGATCTGCTACATAGGAGTGCGTGACTATTGGTTAGTTGAAGTAAAAACTATGGCAGTTGTTAGCTATCACCAATTTTGTGCATATATGTGCATTCTTTTCGTGCGTCCTGTTTCGTCTTTAGGTAGCGAGATGAAAGTGTCGAGCTGTAAAAGATAGATCAGGCTCATCCTGTGCGTTTTTTTCGTGCGTCCTTCAGCACTGCGCAGCAAGTTTTGATCTAATGGTCATGCTTGGTGAGACATTCCAATTTGCTGCTGTGCCATTTATTGTTTCGCGTTTGCAACATAACTGTTAATTTTTTTAATTGGTAGCTAACCTAGAAATGAATGAAACAATCTTGTGTGTAAGTTTATGTATTGTATTTCAATTTATTTATTTGCACTGGTAATTAGGAAGCCGCTCCTCATTGTTGGTACCTGCCACTCAGTAGAATACGTGTTTATGTGCGAAAACATCACAATATGACACTCCCAAAATGTAAACTACGCAAAGCTCCTATTATCATGCACCTAATGTTTGGCTCTTTGCGCCTCCAGGTCAACTTATTTATAAGCTGCCGCGCACACCACCAACAAAAGTGAAATTTAGAAAAGAAGTACTGCTGTTTTATGGGTACCTGACATTTAGTCATTTGTCACAGCCTTCTTTCTCACAGGGCGTTCTACCACTCAAACGAGGTGCTAGTTGAGAGGCCATAGTTTACTAAGACTCTAATAAGGAGGTCATGGTTTGTAGTTTCCGTAACGATGACAACGCATCTAGGCTTAAAACACTGAAAATGAAGTTCTACTAATGGCGCACATTCCAGTACAAAAGTACACTTATAGATGCACTTTCGTGCGCGAAAGGTGGTGTAGAAGTAATGTAGTCTTTACCTATGACACGTAAAATAGGAATATTGTGATTTTCATTGGTTTCTAGGATATTATGCAACGCTGACTAATTCCTGCGTGCGAGTAAGCTGCATAGCAGAGGCATATATTTCCAAGTGATTTAGTAAGCATAGAAGTGACAACGTTATGTGAAGTTGGGCATTGCGCTTTCGAAACAAAATGTTTTCGTTGACTCAATAGATGACCGCGAAGTTTTTGTTCAACTTTTATTTCCACTGGTTCATAAATATATTTCATGCGCGTGTTTTCAACGCTGCTCTTTTTCTTCACCGTTCAGGAAAAGAATATGTTGCCTTGCGTATTTGATTTTGATCATTTCTATGGCATTCTTAAGTGTGCAACCAAAATTATTACGAGAAGAAATGTGGCTAAAATTAGCCCAGAGGCCACATTCTGGTAATTCGTCAATTAGAACCGGAGCACTAAATATATATAAGTAGATGATCAACATAAATTTTCGCATGTTTTTCATAACAATTCATTTTGTACTGTATTTTCGGAGACCACAATTTTCTCTTGTACGCATTGCCCGTCTTTGCATTTCTGGAATGAAACACAGAGCAAGAAAAAAAAACAGTTGAGACGTTATTAGGAACCATTTTTCTTACTTTTTAGCTATTTTTTGCACACCTGGGCAGATTGATAGTAATGACTGCAAGAAGCATATGTAGACTTTGTCAACCTCGTTGTACATAATACTATGCAATCTATAGTGCATCTTAGAGTCATGACTTAAACCATAATAATCGAGTGGTACGTAGTTGTACTGTACGGACACTTTTCAAGTTAACTGGGTGTGTTAAAGATAAGCAGTAACACGAGTAGACAAAATGATTGAGAGCGATAGTCAAAAACAGTCAGTCTGTATGCGTATTTTTGTCCTTTGGCTCTGCGTTCAGCACGTATACTAGCCTAATCGAATATGAAAAACCTTTAACGCTTCACATTACCTGGGCTGGATTTGAAACATTGCAGAGTGTCCCATTTTCTTCAACTTTCGAAATTTCTCTTGTCGCAGAGTTTGTGTCATTGTTTACAAATAAGCAGCTATACTTGCAGTTGTTAAGCCCCTGAATAAAAAAGCAGGAAAAAAACTGTTTCAACATCCTATGAAAATTTGCCATCTGGACACTCTCTTCCTGATCAAGCAGTAATTGGCTGAAAAATACGACTTTCGGGGGTCGCGAAGGACTTCATTTCAAAGCAGGTATACTGACGCAGCCCTATAGTTCATCTAGGCGCATCTTACAGCTGCAATCGAAAAACATTTATACATAAGTAGGGTACGGCTCTTTGCTATCTTTGATGAATTTAGCTAACTGCATAAAAATACATCCTTCCTCAATCAATGGAATTCTCATAGTTATCATAATTACCATTTGGTCCCTCCTCCGGCAAGTTATCATGTTGTCCAGTTTCATTTTCTCACAATTTCATTACGTTTACTACTAATAACATTCCAAATGCTTTCCTTGGCGTTTTTTCTTGTTATTTCTCATTTATATTGTGTCTGACAAAAAAATGAGCCTTAAACCGCCGAGTTACCTTTTGTGGTGGTATAACCATTGTTTTACCTGAGCTGTATGGCGTGGTCGAGTTATTCATGTAAATGTGCACGTGGTTACTGTAGTTTTGTTCCAGTTGGAATAGACTCAGTTGATTGTGGTTATAAGAGGGAAAAGAAGAGAAAAGTGAGCCCCGTAACTGTCTGCATCAGCGTGCGACACCTCAACAGTAGCTCACACGGGATGGGGTTGAGGAAGGATTAAAAGGATATGATTAACGGTAAAGAGAGAGAGAGAGAGATGCGCAAGGACAGCGAGCGACGACATAAGAGAGATAGGAATGATGAAAACACGGTCACAGGAGTCCGAGGACGGGGCACCACTTGCGAGAGCTCTTCTCGGCGACAGGAGATCGCGTAGGACCAACCCAGTCGGCCAGAGCTGCGCTGACGTCGGAGATCGCGAGGGCACAACAGGTCGGCACGGAATCCAGCGAGCGAGTCCAATAGACACAGTTGTTTAAGGGCATGTATCGGTAAGTAAAAAAGTTTCTCCTAATGCTTGAATCATCAAGTAAACTCGCGGCGGGCTTAAGCTCCAAGGAGGAAGCAGTGGCTTTGATGCCGGTGTGTACGCGCCAGTAAACGATGGGCGATGCTTGCAGACAGTGGCACGGTATGTCTTGCGGGGTCTTTAAGCAGTGAGACTCGCCAGGTGGTGGGAAGTAGGCCTGGCATAATGCCTGATGTGCATGCGCATTGTCTCGGTAATAATATGCGTCTTGATTGTGTAATCTCGAGTGATGGCAATGGTTTCAGCCGTTGAAGCACTGCGGGGTAATCCAAGGCATATCCTAAGTGCTCGAGCTTGACTGCTCTGAATAGTGCGCAGGTTGGTCTTGCTGGTGTATGATATCGCAGGTAAGCTGTACTGTAAGAATCCGATAAACAGCACTCTGTAAAGTTATAGCATGGATGGCATGGGAACTCCCCATTTCTTTCCTGCAAGGAATTTGAACATGTGGCATGTTCTGATCAGCCGCTTCTTCACATAGTTCACGTGGGGAGTCCACGACAGGTTTCCGTCTATTATGACTACCAAGAAGCTGTGGCTTCTGCTGAAATACGTATTCTCCATTAATCGATATACTGTAAGCAGACACTGGTTTCCGCATAAACGCTACCACTGCACATTTTCCGCAGGATACCTCTAGACCTTGTTTACGAAGGTAGCATGACGTTGTACAAGCCTTCTGAAGGCAGGCGTGAAGCTGAAGCCTTTTCACACCTGATGTTCAAGTGCAGATGTCGTCAGAGTAGATACAGTGCTAGGTAGGTACTCGACTAGTCCAGTGAAAGTTAGATTGAAAAGTGTAAGGCTTAGCAATCCTTCCTGGGGAACTCTTGGGCTGCTGTAATAATCAGGTGTTGGGCAATTCACTGTGATCATGTAAAATGATCTCACCTGTAAGTAGCTGTACAACCACATATATATCTTGCCACAAAGACCTACTGTTTCCAAAGCACTAAGGATGCCTTCATAGGTGACATTGTCGTAAGGCCCCTTAACGTCTAAAACAGGGCGGCTCACAGTCTCTTACAGGTTTTCTGGTGTTTAACGTATGTCACCAGATCAACAACGTTGTCGATTGACCAATGGCCGTGCCTGAATCCGGTCATGGATACTGGATAAATTTCGTTGTGCTCTAAATACCACTCCACTCGTGTTAGTATCATTCGTTCCATTGTTTTTCCCACACAACTGGCAAGCGAGATAGGACGGTATGAGGCAATATCCCAAGGAGATTTACCAGTTTTTCAAAGTGGAATGAGGCGACTTGACTTCCATCCTTGAGAAACCGTACTAGTCTTCCAGGAGTCGTTGTATAGGCGTAAGGCTACCTTCCGAGGTTCGTCGCCAAGATTACAAAGGACACGGTACGTAATGCCGTCAGGTCCTGGTGCTAAAGAACGTCTGCACAGTGCCCGCGCCGCTTCTAGCTCATCCATAGAAAACCGGCATTCTATAAGGGGATCACGTCAGGGTGGTAGGTTGTCAAGTGTTTCCATTTTTGTTTCCGTGAAATTGGACTTGCCGGCAATTCTTCTGCAGAAGAATTCTGCTGCGTCAATATCTCTGCATCGTAGGTGAAGTACCAAAGATGTAAACGGGTGTGAATGACCAAATGTTGCGCTAAGACCCCGGACAGTTCTCCACATAAGTGATAGGGGCTTTCGCGGATCCAACGATTCGCAGAAGGATGGCCAACGTCGCCAAACCAGTTTATCGATGTGCCGTTGCACTTTTTGATGGGTCTAGCCAGCCTCAAATCATCCATGCACTTTGTCCATCTGTACTTACGTTCTGCACGACGACGTATTGCGTGAAGTTTTTGAAGCACGATGTCGAAATTGGTGCGCTTGTAACTAGTCAAAAGTGAGTGCGTAGTATTCTGCAGGGCATCCTTCATCGAGTCCTCTAGGTTATAGGATGAGCCGTCGCTACAACAGTCTTCCAATAACTTTAATATCGGCCAATAGGTGTATTTGAGGTTTCTGGAGGACTTGGAGCTGGTGAAACCTTCTATCCGTGGGTAAGTTGGAATATGGTCGCTGCCCCGCGTTTGCAGATCCGAAAACCAGTGCAATATTGTGGTAAATGGCTGAAAAACCAAAATAAGGTCCAGGCAGCTACTATAGGCTGATTCACGTAAATATGTGGGGCGTTCATTATTACAAACGCAAGGTTCGTAGTCCGAGGCAAAGGACACACTCTTCTTCCTCTATGGTTGACCCTGGAGCGTCCCCATAAGAAAATGGTGGGCGTTAAAGTCACCAGTGGTCACCCATGGGCTTGGAGTAGATGTTAGAATACCGCGTAAGCGCTCGCAGTCGAGGCGGCTTGATGGAGACATGTAGGCTCCGAGAATCGTGAAAGTAACCTTATTTTTTTCGCAGTAAAGCACACATATTGATTCTCCTCATCAAGCGAGACTGTGTGGTGAACGTAAGTGAGGTCACAGAGCATGAATACAATAACCTGGCTGCCATCTCCGTTAGTGGAGGACAGCACTCATATCCTAACAGTCTGAGTGAAGCAGACATGCGGAGTTCGCCAGGACAAGGAACATCGCAGACAGGTTGGGTTCGTCAGGACAAGGGACATCGCAAGGACAAGGATTGACCCTAAGGTGCTTCACCCCGCTAAAGGAGAGTGAGATAACTTGCTGAAAATTATAATTATAAAACTAGTTGGTTGCACGCCAGTAGACTCGAATTAATGTTTTATAAATGTGGAAGTGAAGACCAATAGACGAGAGTGACACGGAATATTGTTACAGCTGATCAATCCCCCTTTCACACGCAGTGGCGCAATGTCTCCGATCGGTGACTTGACGTAGCACGCAGCTCGTCGATTGGTCAAAACCAGTAACGACGACGGCCTACCCTTTTCCCTCCCTCTGAGGAAAGCGGGTAGTCAGGCCACGCGAAAGTTTGAACCCAGCTGAAATTGATGTTCTAACCCAAGCAACTTCCTTAATATAGCACGCATTCACTAAATTCTCGCGGCAACATGTTCACAAAGCAAAATTGCACATATTTCTGTTTATATCAGTTTTTAGACCTCGCGGTTGTTTACTAGTCTTTTCAAGAGAGAGAGAATAAACTTTATTGAAGAATTAAAATTACGTGACTAATCCCGGGTGGAGCCCTCTTGTAGAGCCCCACTGGCCACAGCGGCTCGCCGGGCCTGGTCTAGGGTCACCAGTTGGCTCCCCAGTGCCAGCTCGGAAAGCCGTGCCTCCCAAGACCACGTTGTGAGTGTTTGTAGTGAGCGCACCAACCTAGATACTGCATTGGCTGGCCGCTCGGTACATTGGTAGGTTATGTGTGTAAGTGTGGCTGTGTGGTTACTACACCATGGGCATACCCCTGTTGTGTATATCTGTGGAAAAATTGCGTGTAGTTTTGATATGTGGGGGTATGTGTTCGTTTGGAGGCGGCGCCAATCCCGGGCTTGTTGGCTGCTTAAGTTCGGATGTGGAGGGGCGTACGTGCGTCTTGTAAGGCGTTGGTTTTCCAATATCTGCCTGCTTGTTACACTTTGCTCTTCATGATGCCCTGTGAGGTGTCCTGAGGAGAGTCCTGCGTCTCGGCCAGTAAGTCCGCGAGCTACGCAGTTTGCCTCCTCGTTCCCCCCCAGGCCGTCATGCCCTGGGCACCAAGTGACGCCATGTGCCTCCATCAACATGAACCCCAAAATATCAGTGACGCACCTTGAAAGTGTGCCTCTAAGGTATAAGCGACATGCAGCTTGTGAGTCTGTCAAAATATACGCTGAGCGCCCCCTTCTTTCGGCTTCTCTGATTGCCAAGGCTATGGCTGCTGCCTCTGCGGTGGCACTTGATCTGGTGCGTAGGGACGCGCAGGCCACGACTTTGCTTTGGTTAGTCACTGCCAATGCATATGCTTGTTTCTGGAGCCTTGTGGTGGCGCGGGATAAAGACTGACGTCGGTAAAGTAAGCGTCTGGATCGCTACTTCTCTGCAGGAGTTTTCGTGCTCG